CGAAATTTACACACTGGCTGAGTCGACCTAGGGGAGGCCCAGAACCGGTTCAGATAATCGTAACTGCTGTTGGCCTTGAGTGGGAATCGAACCCGGGTCGACGGGTTCGTAGCGGAGCGTGTTAACCGCTGCGCCACCACCACACATGCGCACGCGCGCACACACACACACATCCACTATGAAACCACACACATGCACGCACAAACATTAAAATAAAACATGCGACTGCATAACAAAGATGGACGAAATCCAGCAGTGAGATGGGTCGGCTCTCAATGATAACCATCGTTCAAATGCAGTCGTGTACATTTCTTTGGCGGTTAACAATTAAAAAAGGCTCACGCCACATTTCTACAGAGTCGTCTGGCCGTTAAATCCCAGGGAACAGGCAATAGGCCCCTGCCATGGAAATATAGAATGTCCAGCGCCAGCTTAAGGGTCCGAGCAATGAAAGACGAGCGACGAACCTTTGCAGCTCGTTTCAAGTGGAAACAGGCTACGGCGCGGCTTGATTTGACTCGATGCCGCCGTTCGTGCGTGCGCGTGTGCGTGCGATCCACGATGCCATCGTTAATCAGCCAGGAGTCCTCGTTCCTGTATCGCACCGTGACGTGTGGCCGGCGGCGGCGGCCACACGTCACGGTGCGATGTTTACTGCCCCCGATATGAGCGCGGGGACTAATGTATTTACGCGCGCCCGTGCATTACACAAAACTGTTTTTACGCGTAAACAAATTACGCGGCGAGGTGCTTCAGCGGAGGAAAATGCCCCCGCAGTGTTGTGGATACGTCCCGTGATATACGGTTCATCGACTACGGGGTAGTTTGTTCCAGCTCCGATGTAAAGATTTTAAAATTGCTACAAAACCTCAGCGTAAAGCGAGCGAGCGCGTGTCTGTGCCGAGCAATTGCACGGGCACGCACGTGTTGCTTCCCTTGCAGAAGAGGGTAATGAGTCTGGGCGAGCATTTTTGAGGACGTCTCCCAACGCTCCCGTGGAACACATGCGGACAAACTCATCTCCGTCAGCTACCCTGAGCCAGCGTTGACAATTGGCACGTTCCCACAAGGAAGGCCTGTACGTCCGTAGGACGATGCAATTTGTGACTGTCCACAGAGTGGTACTTTATTTTTATATCACCGCAGAGAGATGATGGGCCCAGGTTAAAACCCGACCAGGTTTTTGTATTCGCTCTAACCACAGCCTGGCTCAGTCGGGCGGCTGTGGGGCAAGCAGCGTGATGCACGTTAGCGTGGGAATGTACAGTAATTCTGTAAATAATTTACACATTTCTTAGGTCTTACGTTGACAGATTTGTACACTTTACAATTTGTCGGGTTAAAAATGAATGTGAATATTGAGGCATTAAGCCAGAAGGGCTTAACTGTGACTCTGTATGATTGATATAGACACACCCATATTGAAACACTCCCAATAATATACATGAAGCACACACACAAAGACAAAGCTCCCCGTGTATCCTTAAACAGACTGTCAGGTCAAGTGCTGTTAGCGAGCACCTATTGAGGCTGACTCGGCACACGAGGGGGTGGGTGGCCAACGCCATTCCCGGTAGCCTTTGTCTCTCCAGGTGCTGATGTTTACACACCACACAAGGTACTCAATTAAGGCTGAGTTGACCTAGGGGAGGTCCGGGACCGGTTCAGATATTTTTGTCGCCGTGAGCGGGAATCAAACTCAGGTTGCCGGGCTCGTCGGCACCCTCCCCACCCCCCCCACATGTAGCACCTCCGATTAGCACGGTTGACTACGTACGGTGCGAAAGAAGTTCAACATGCATACACACATAGTACACACGCAGGCACGCAGACACACATCTATAAAACACAAATTGCGACCATGTTTTCAGATTCACGCGGCGGTGTCAAAACACACATAACAACAACAACAACGGGGCGGTGCGGTAACGATTCACCCACAGCGCAAACCAGAGGCGTCCGTATTGACCGTCGAGGAAAATACATTTTGTGCCTCAGAAGGACACGTCGCTGGCCGGAGGCGACGGCGACGACGACGACAACGACAACGACGGCGGTGGCCGACGGGGTGGAGACTGGCGACGGAATGGCAGCCGAAGGATGGGAGCCGCGCGCGAGCAAAACCGGCGCGGATGGATGGGGCGACGATGACGTTACGTGACGAGCCGGAGGGGCCCGTGCACGGCGAGGCCGCGTAAGGGATGGCGGCAAGTGGCGCGGTGAAGACTTCATCCGCCGGTGCGGGGATTTGGTCGCGGCTGTCTTTTTTTTGTTGGCGACCGTGAACGGTTTATATTTTACAACGGGTTCGAAATGAGACGCGAGTAATGAAGGCGTCAAGGGCGACCCGGGATGACAGATACATTTTATTGTGCTGGGGAGATCTTCATACAGCAGTGGATTGAGAATGGCTGTGTGTGTGTACGCACATCATGTTATACATTACACACACACACACACTCGTATGCGCACGAACACATTATGCAGACACAAACGGATGCAGCTCGCTTATATGCAGAAATATAAATATATAACATAGACACTGTGTGGGTTTTGAAACATGATAGGACATTTACCAGAATGTTGTTTGCTAATTCTATACAGGGGACAGTGTGTGCAGCTTAATAATGGTGCCACATCTAATAGATGTGGATTTATGCTTGAGTAAATGCGTGCCTTCTGCACGTGATAGGACCTCGAAATTAATGCAAATGAGCGGTGGGTTTCAAACGACGCGGCTTAGGAAATCTTGCCGCGTATCGCATTGCCGTGTCGCGGTACCATCGCGCGATCACGCCATCGCGTACCCGCGCCATCGCGTACCCGCGCCATCGCGTACCCGCGCCATCGCGTACCCGCGCCATCGCGTACCCGCGCCATCGCGTACCCGCGCCATCGCGTACCCGCGCCATCGCGTACCCGCGCCATCGCGCGATCACGCCATCGCGTACCCGCGCCATCGCGTACCCGCGCCATCGCGTACCCGCGCCATCGCGTACCCGCGCCATCGCGTACCCGCGCCATCGCGTACCCGCACCATCGCGTACCCACGCGCCGGGGCCAATGCTGGTCAACTTACGGCTGACGTAGAATGTGTTTGCATGTCGGTGGCAAAATATACCCGCAAGTTAATCTCTCTGTTATTGTGTTATAGTCGTTTATATTCATATATCGGAGGTATTGTTTTGCGTGCAGTTTAAATCTGTGCGTGTGTTTGTGTGTATTGCATGGTTTCATAATTGATTTGCGGGTCCGATCGCACGAGTAAACAGTGTGTGTCGTACACCCTCCACCACCCAACCACGGGCAATTTATTAAAATCGGCTGTGTTGGGGTGGAGCAGGGTGTACGACACACATTTGACTCCCGCGATCTGACCAAAAAAAAACCCAATTATGAATCATAATACCGGTCGCGAAAGCTTACGTTGTTAAATTTAACGCAAGGGTTCCTGTTACAGCTGTTACTGCAACATCGAGCAGCTTACACGCAAATGCAACGCCGGATAAGGGAGGCGATGAAGCCTGCCTGTGGCCCGACATCGAAGGAGGGGACCTTCGACAAAGGGTGACTGCTTAGATAAAGTGCCGTGGATTAGCTATCATATTACAGGTGTTTGAAATTGTTACATCCGTACGTTAACGGATTACAAAAAAAAAGTGCATATGGAGGAGGAAAAAAAATTATATTCAGAAAAATCTTGACAACATTGAGAGAGAAGAATTCCTGAGAAGCTCGTGAAATATTAAAGATATGCAAATATCTGGTGTAAAATCAGAGTAAATCCAGAGAAATCTGGTGTAAAATCAGAGTAAATCCAGAAATATCTGGTGTAAAATGAGAAAAAATGCAGAGAAATCTTGTGCAAAAATTATAAAAAAAAATGTTTCTAATAAATCTGGAGAAAACTCGTACTCACTGGACCGGGCTCCCGGCGCCTTTCCGATTTCTCCAGTTAAGGAATAACTTGTGGGGAAAGTGACTGAGTCAAGCGGAGATGAAGCGACGTGAGCTGTGAGCGAGTGAGATAAAAAGTTTCTCTGGGTGGGGATTAAAAGCCTTGGGACATCGATGATGATGATGGTGGTGGACCAAGTGCGTTGCACTTCAAGGGGACCATGTTGAGAAATGACACAGCTTCATCAAGGGCATCCGTCGCTCTGTCACACCACAGACTTTTCCATCACTCTGTGTATGTTTGCGTATACACGTTAAGCAATGTTATTTTTTTAAAGCTGTATAAACAAATTGATAGCAGAATATAGTGAAAGTGTGCTGGCTGAAAATGTAACTACTTTTGTCAATAACAAATGTGGTGCCGTATATTTAAAAACGCACAAGTAATATGCTAATGTTTTTATTATACGCGTGTTTTATTGCAATGTTTTTGTTTAATGATGACAGTGGTAAAATGTTCAGCCCTCTCTTCCCGCACCGCTGCCCACAGTCCCGAAAATGTATTTAGCAATGATATATAATGTTATACTATCATACGTTAACACATGCGCACACCGCAAATGTAAATATAATGAATATCGCTGGGAATGGTACAAGCTAAAAGGAGGTTGGGAGCACAATCTCGTGTGAATGATACGAAGGCCGGCACGGCACACGAGGGGGTGGGTGGCCAACACCACGCCCGGCCGCCTTTGTCTCCCCAGTGGCGATGTTTTTACACACCACACCAGGTACTCATTTGAGGCCGAGTAGACCTCGGGGAGGCCCAGGACCGGTTCAGATAATCGTCACCGGTGTTGGCCGTGAGCGGGAATCGAACTCGGGTCGCCAGGTTCGTAGCGCAGCGTAGCGCTAACCGCTACACTACCGCTCCCCATTATATTTACATACACACATACCACACATTCACACACACACATACACTCAGCCGTCAAGACAGCGCACGCGCACGGCAATCGCATCAATCATCTGGTACACATAATTTAGACACACACGCACGCACGCACACTCGCAAGCCGTACCGCTAAGTGAGCCGGACTTACCTGTCTTTTCTTTAATTTCGCACAGCACGCTGAACAACGCGGGCTTCATCCGATGGCAGTTGAGCGCGTGTTTTCTGCAATCGGCACAAACAACCGCGGTCAAAGACGAGTCACGGTCGTGCGACTGGCCATGCAACCCAAACTACGGACCGTACACAGTAAGCCTAAAGGCGGCACGCAGAGAGATACGTAGAGATTCATAGAGACACATGACAAACCAGTGTGCGACTGTGGCCATGCCATCTTCTTCTTCTCCGTATGGCTGAGGAAGCAGTTCGAGGTTAGCGATCCATTGAACGGTTTCAGGCGACGCAGAGAGAGAGCGGTCGCGATGCCACCGGGAATGGATCTCTCAGGGCCAGGAGTTCGGTACGCGAGGCGATCGCCTGACTTGGGTGGTGGCCACGATCACAGTTTGGGCTGCTCCCTCACGCTGCACTTGCAGAGCAAGTGACCAACACATCTTCTCGAGGCCTGTCCTCGAGCGGTCGAGGGTTGTCCAAGTTTACAGTGGCCATGAAACCCAAGGCTATAGATTGTATAGTAAACCCACTCTAGTCTGTGCTGCTTCAATGGAGGAGGAAGAATAACAAACCTACACGAATGCTCTCTCTCTCGCTCCTGAAGCCCCCTCTCGTCATGGCTAGCAGACCTCGACATTGGCATTTTAGCTGCTGAACGTATCGCTGCTGCCATCATACGCGAGGATGGAACAGTTGACAGCATTATCCCCCACGCATCACATTGCACACCAGCGCAGCTTATCGAGGAGTGTGCGGGCAGTGCAACTCCACGGTGCCCGTCGGGGGGGCCGGAGGGGCACAGGCGCCGGGCTACGGAGAGGGGGAAAAATATAAAGGAGGGGCAACATTTTATATCCGAATATGCTGCGAGGCGGAAATAAAGGGCGGTGCAGCATTTACCGGCAGTGGACAGCCTCAAAGTCGAAGTGATTTTCTGCTCAAATAAAACTTTTAGTTTGAACCCGTGGCACACCGCAGGAGGAGGGGGAGTAGAGGCGATGAAATGATAATCCGACGAAGAAAAGTGTAATTGGAAAGGGACGAAAGAAGAGAAAGAATGGGAAAGAAGAGGGAATGGACGTGAAGGGGAACGGTGAAACGGGACCTGGGCACGGACAAAGAGGCCACGGGGCTCAAGATGAGCAGCAGGAAGGAGTGAGGAGCTCCAGACAGGAATGGGATGTGGGGGAGGAGAAGGAATGACTGGGCCAAGGATGTGGGGACTGAGAGGAGGAAGATGATGATGATGGGAGGGGAGGACAGAGAGAGAAGGAACGAGCGAGCAGGAGTGAGCTGCATGGAGCAGCGTCTGTTTTCGCAGTGGGCAGGGAGCCATTCAGGGTGGGGGTGGCAACACAGAAGGCACGTGGTTTGCCGCCTCGATGCTCATCTGCAGAAATACAGATGAGCATTGAGGCGGTGCTCATCTCCAATTGACAGCCCTGAGCCAGTGGTGGAAATTCCTCGTTCCTATGGTGGGGGTGAGTTGAGGCAAAGAGAACCCATTGTTGGCTTATCCCCCCACCCCCAAACTGGTATGCATTTTATTGACCCCAGGGGGATGATGGACTTAGTCAACCCACAACCAGGATTTGAACTCGCAACCTTCCGATTGTGCGTCGCTCGCTCTACCGCTGGGCCAGCCGATACACCAGCTGTGTGAGGAGTGCGCTAAGGAATCGAGTATTGTACACGGACTTATATTATTTATCATCGGAATTCTGCATGTACACAAGAAGCCGCAACCGAGTCTCAGGGCAGTTTAAAGAAGGTCTTGCATGGGGTGATAGTCCAATTCAAGCAAAACGCTTTTGTCAATCAAAGTCCAAAAAACGCTGTTAAGGCTGCCACGAACACACGCACACGCGTGTAGGCTTTTCGCGCAATCGTGTCGCAAAGGGGACATGCGCAATGTACAGACAGGGCACGCGGAGGCGAGAACGCTCCGTGCCTGCGCGACACGGGGGCACGGTCTCTGGGCACCCGAGCACTCTAATTAAACGAGAAACCACAACGGGGTGAGACGCCACGCAATGCACGGACGCGAACGTTGCTGCGCGTGACGCCGCTGCACGTAAATAGCGACCGCTGCTTTGAGGACCCGGACGTGTACGTATCGAACGTGGGGCGGCTCGTCCCCATTGGCTCGTCCAGGGAGAGACAGTGGTGAAAATTCCTCATTCCCTACGGCGGGGGGGGGGGTCCCTCTCGTACAACGGTCACCTCCGATTAGCAAAGTGTGGCTACGTACGGTGCGAAAGAAGTGCAACATACATACACACGCGCTTGATTTTTCACGCAATGATACTCATTGTATTGACGCTGGAAGGACGATCGGCTGGACCGGCTCTTGCCTGGGTTTCGAACCGCAGTGTCACCCACTCTCTCCATACCACGAGGTAAGAAAATAAAAAAATTCAACCCACTGCTGGATGTAAGGTTACCCATGCTGCTGTAGGTCATTGAAGTTGTTTAAACCATACTTCACCACGCCGGTCAATGTGGGTTTGGCGAAGAGGGGCAGGTGGAGTGAAAAGCACCGGTTCAGATTATCGCTCACCGGGAATTTAACTCAGGCCGACGGTTTCGTTCGTGCAGTGCGCCAATCACTATGCCACCTCTCCCCCGTCTACTCCGTTGTGTAACACGCGTATACATATGGGTGTAACACAGAACACGCCTTTACATACAGGTGTAAAGTAGGAGCCGACACCAGATTGCAGGGGTCTCGTCCTTTATTCTTTTCCTTCCATCCACACCTGTCCCCCAGCCGTCCCAATCTCGTTCCCGCCAAAGGCCCTTTCTTCCCGCCCGTTCTCTCCTTATATCTCTTCGATCACCCCTCCCACTAACCCATCTATTGGTGGGAATCCTTCCCCTGACACCCCTACATCACCCCCCCCCCCGGAGAAAAAAATAACCGTCCTCGGTTCTGCCTCCCCCATGGACCATTTAAATCTCCCCATGCCTCCCCCCACTGACAGTGACGACAGCCCTTACCCCCCCCACAACCATACAATGCAACATAACACAACGAAATCAATTGCGCGGCCTGCCCAGGTCTCCAGCCAGCATCCCGTAACAGCCCGGACATCCACAGGCAGCAGATGACCGTGGCGGCCCCCCCCTTCGAAGGCCCTCTCGTCGCGGTCCCTGGTTCGGTGGTGCTGGTGTCGCCTTGCCCGGCGCCGCTGTCTCTCCGGCCCCCGCTCGTGCCGCCGCTCCGTCAGGCCTCACATGGGGTGCTGTAGGTGACAAGGGAACACAGGGCACCGAACCCCCTGCCGGTCGGTGCGTGGTGGTCGGCGACCTTGGCCTGGGTAGGGATGATGATGATGTTGGCAGTGATGTTGGTGGTGATGTTGGTGAAGATGACGGTGGAGAGATGTATGGCTTAAGGCGGGTGGGGTGTACAAACCATCGTCGCTTACCCAGTTGGACCTGGACGCACTGCGGTCGGAGTGCTTTAATGACCTCGACCGGCCCTTTCCAGGGTCGGTGCAGCTTTGGTGAGAGGCCAACCGGCACCTGAGGACAGTGTAGCCATGCCTGGTCCCCGACTTTGAAGGGCTTGGCTGTCACTGTCCTCTCCCGTATCCGTACATTACTCTCTTGGCTCGTGGCCGATGCGGCCTCGGCTGCTTGGCGGGCCTCTCTCAAATAAATGAGGGAGGTCTTTAGTGCCTTCGGCCATGCGTCGGCTCTTGCGGGAATGTCCGTCAACTGCACCTCAATAGGCGGAACGGGATCCCGTCCGTACATCAGGAAAAACGGCGAGAACCCCGTCGCCGCGTGTGGGGCCACCCTGTACGCCGCTAAGACAGATGGAATGTGGAGGTCCCAGTCGGAATGGTTTTCGTCCACCACTTGGGACAGCATGGCCGCTATGGTGCGGTTAAGCCGCTCTACCATCCCATCGGTCTGGGGATGATACGGAGATGTTCGGACCTTTTTAGTGCCCAGGATAGAGCAGACGTCCTTCAATAGCTGTGAGGAGAAATTCCTGCCCTGATCCGTGAGCAACCGCTCCGGTGCCCCCTTATCAAGGACATAGCCTCCCACGAAGGCATCGGCGATGGTCTGTGCCGTTTGGTCCGGGAGGGCCCACGCCATCGGCCACCTCGTGCAGTACTCGACTCCGACCAACAGGTATTTATTTCCCCGTGGCGTGACCGGCAGTGGTCCCAGGATGTCCAACGCAACCAATTCGTTGACCCTGGTCACCGTGATGGGCTGTAGGGGCGCCCGGCTTACCCGGGGTGGCGGCTTTCGCCGCGCACATTCGACGCAGGTAGCGACCCATCGATGCACATCAGCGGTCATACCTGGCCAAAAGTACCGACTCTGTAATGTGTACAGTGTCTTCCGCCCCGCCAGGTGCAGCAGCTGGCGGCCGTGTACGTCCATAACCAATTGTTGACGCAGCGACTCCGGAACTACCAGGCATCGTCGGCGCCCTGTCGGGTCCCATCGCATGAGGAGGTCCTCCCATACGATGTACTCCTCCCCCCCTGCCTCTGCTGAGGCGCGTAGCGTTCGCAGTGGGGCTTCCTCCAGCTGTAGCCGTCGCCAATCGTCCAAGGTCAGCCCCAGGTCGTGGTCGGTCAGCTGGACCTCACCCTGTGCGTCCTCCGCCGTGCGTACGGGAGCGATGACTGTCCCCTCCGGCCTCGCCTCCTTGCAGCGTGCCCCGCCTGTGGTGCATGCACAAGGGCCCTGGGGCGCCAGTCGGGACAATGCGTCTGCGTTGGCATGTCTGGTCCCTTTGCGATGCACTACTTGGTACCTGTACTCCTGCAGGCGCTCTATCCATCTGGCCAGCTGGCCCGAAGGCTGGTCGATGCGGAGCGAATACTGCAAGGCCGCGTGGTCAGTGCGGACCGTAAATTTGCGACCATACAGGTAGGGTCGAAATTGCTGCACGAAGTGAACGACTGCCAGGAGTTCCCTACGTGTGACGCAGTAGCGCTGCTCCGCTGATGAAAGCACGCGACTACCATAGGCGATAACCACCTCGCGACCCTGCTGGACTTGCGACAAAACACTGCCGA